TTGTCCTATAGTCGCAACCACCACTTTGATTCAGAAAATGATACAATTCATCCATCCCAATCTGCCAAAAACATTGGTGCCATTTTTGACACCCCTATCTCTATGCTTCCTCATGTGAACTACTATGTATATCAGCCTTCTACTATCTGCATAAAATTTCTCGTATAAGAAAATTCCTATCTTCAAAGACTACTGAGACTCTCGTCCATGCTTTTGTACCCTTCAAGCTTGACTACTGCAACTCTCTTTTGTATAATGTGCCGAAGTATGTTTTGAAAAAGCTTCAATCGGTACAAAACTGCTTTTGCGAATATGACCACATCACCCTAGTTCTGTCCGATCTACACTGGCTTCCTGTAAATGAGCGTATTAAATCTCAATTTCAAGGCTCTACACCAACAAGCACCCACCTACATTCAAGATTTGGTAACCTGCTATTCACCGCTCAGAACACTACGATCATTTAGTACACTACACGTATGCATGAATCCCAGTAACTAATCAGAAATGCTTTGGGTCTAGAGCCCTGCTGCTGCTTCTCCTGACCTGTGGAACAGTCTACCAGACAACTTCCGTTCATGTGACAATATTTAAGTACTTTTAAATCTAACCTTAACACATATCTTCTTAGGAAAGCATATCTTTGTTAGTATGGCTATTTTTATCTTAATTTTCATTCATTTACTATTTATTGTTTGGAATGTTGTGTAAAGCACCTAGAGCAGGACTGGACAGGCACTATACAAATTTTAACTATTATTAGTTTATTATTATTATTATTATTATTAGTTTATTATTATTATTATTATTATTATTATTATCATCATCAACTTTCTTGTCCTGGCTTTATACAACTACATATTGGCAAATGAGATTATAGTCATAATCACATTATAGATTAGGACACAAGAGCAAACCACAAAATAACTACCATTGATGTTTGCAGTTTGGTTTTCTCATGCCTCATTGGCTTTTTCCTTGCAGCACAATAAAATTCCATTAAAAAATCAACACTTCTGGTGTTCACAGTTTTGTGAGTATCACAGTAAGAGTATAAATAGAACTGACTTTACATTGAGGTTAGTATGTTCAGTGCTTGGATATATCTTGAATGAATAACTAAATAGCCATTGAACTCAGCTTTTGTATGATGTGAAGAATCATGTAGATAAAGGAGGGCTCTACATGCCTTGGCCAAACACTCCTTGATTTGTATATCATATCATATCATATAAAGCAATAAGCAAATAATTATTGAAGTTGTGAATATGTGAAAATCATATATGTGAACTGCAGAGTGAAGAATTATATTGCAGAGTGCTGCACCGGTATCGCAGAGGTCAAGGGTTCGAATCACATGCAAGCCTGTTTTTTTTTTTTTTTTGCGACTTACTTTTTGCAACTGCAAAAGTTGCGTATATAACTGCAATGATCTTCATTCACATAATTCAAATAATTATTGTTAATACACAGGCACTTTGATTCCATGATATGTTTTATGACCAGAACAGATTACTACTGGCACATGCATTTAACATTTTATCACCAATTAGTTGCTTCCTGAACTGATGGCCCTGCAGCCATTTGCTTCTTCATTATACTTACCTGCACTTTACTTGATTGCGTTATGTCTTCTATTGTCAAGTTAGAAAATTTAACAGTGAGGTTCCCCTTTTGAAGAAATCCAAACTTACTCAACTCGATTGTCCGTCTCACTTCATCCTAAAGGGAATACAATATTCACAGGCTATGAACTTTGGGGAGGTTATCTGATACATGCAGGTCTTTTTTTTCTTACCTATGTGATCTGAAAGGAATCAATGAAGTATATTAAATTGGAACCATTGACATATATCATAAATCTATCAATTAACATGTGTATTATATTTAATAAAATGAAATTATAGCACAGCTAGAATGTTCACTTGACATTCAAAAGCACAAGTGTCCTTCATATTCCTATTCTGCATGGACTTGGTTGACTAATACATTAATCTCAAAGAATTTGTTTGAAGAATGATTAGCATTGACCCAGGATTAAACTTTATTGTGGGTTCTTGTTCCTTTAGTTCAAATGTATTCACCCAGATAATTTTCTCTATTCTTCTTAGCACATCCATGATCAAATTGTAGACAAAATTAATTCAACTGAATTGGCTTTTTAGGCTTTCATATTTGATTTCTAATTTTGCATTATTCTGGCTTATCTTAAACCAACTTTGAACATTCCAGCTCTGAGCAATCTCAGCAATCCTCCCAAGTTCATCCATAACCAGAAGCAAATGCCACAACTCAATATTAACAGGCTGAGCTGTTTACCATTAGCTTTGGGGTTTCAATAAGCACCGACAACTGACAAAATGCCTCCGTTACTTTTTCCCCGAAGGAAAAAGGAAACAATTTTAAGAATGTGCAAATAAAAAATAAAAACGTATTCTATGATGTGTTTTTCCATAAATTATGCTTTACTCAATGTGGTTATTCAAACACTACATTTCAGTCATTTTTTCAAACGTTTCTTTATATGTTTACGCCGAGTGAAATAAGGTGGTTTAAAGCTGGTTGCCTAACAGAGCATCCCATTGAAAATGTTCTTAAGAACCCTAATTAAGCTTAAGTCTCAACCTACAAGAAGCAGAAGCTAACGCTAAAATGGTGGTGTCGACAAGTAAGTAATTACAAAAAATATGAACAATACACCATACGGGCCACATTTGTAGGATAACCATACCTTTAACTGTATTTTATGGACTCTTCCCCAGCCAAGACGAATAAGAAACATTAAGATTAATAAGGTTATATGAAAAACAAAATTCGCCTTTCCACTACAAGAGGCAGCCATTTTGTAATGACGAAAATTTGCAATGACGTCAATACTGTTTCCCAGTTCCTCACTCGTTTGACCCAGGGGGTCACCCAGGGGAGGTTTTGTGTCCAGCGGTTTTATTTATTTACGGTTTAGGCCACAAGTAAGAGAAAATGGTGGACATTTTCAACGACGAGCAGACTTTTTATTTCGCTTTCTTCACGTTCACGATGGCTACAATCATCATGGCTTTTATCCTTTCCCGTTTTATCACTCTCAATCCGTCATATCATGTTTAAAAGGTAAAACTTCAGCCAAGATAATCTTGGTAACATTTAAAGCTCAATTGTTTTCGTTGGTCGGCGTTCTTTGAAGAACGAAGCATAACACAATAGATGCTATTCTTATTCAATGACATGCAAATAAGTGGCAGGGTATTCTGCAGGTAAGCCTTAATGGACCGCATATTAAGCTTAACTTCAATATGATATGCCCTTAACTTTCTTGCTTGTGTACGCTTTTTAAGTTTTGTACGGATGATTATAGTGTTCAGCTAGCGCAATTCCATTTTGGTAAACAAAATTTATCGGAATATTTTTTCAGGTTGTTAAAGTGTTTTTTTTTTTTTGATTGGCTGATACACAGCATAAAATTAACCCTGAAGCGTCTAAATTCCCATTATTTGTTTAGAACCATGCTGGGGTTTTTTAGCCGTCCAATCAGAAGCACGGAAATTTTTTTGCTGAAATATGGACTCAGAGATATAAAGGCATCCCCGTCTAAAGAGTAGCTATAATGCATCAGTCAAAACTTGGCGGGGGAATTTAGCATTGGCTGGGTGTCAAAACACTGCTTATTTCCCTGCTCCCTGGGCCAATAAGTTTGTTAAAAGCCCCGTATAGCAGGGGCATTAGTAGTTCTAGGCTCAATTTCAACCTTTCTTTTGGGTGCAGTCTTGTTCCTCTCTGTGAACAGGCTGCTTTCCAAGAACAGTGGCTGGTAATCGAGCCTAAAGCAAAATTGTTCAGAACTCTTTAGTCGTCACACTGCTGGACTCTTTCTAAAGTCAACCATATATATTTTAACGGTACTTAGCAACTGCCTTCTACATTGCAAGTCAATCATAGTGTACATACATCAGACTACTCAAGATTGACTCAATTCTGTACTTATTTAAACTCAAACCAACGAACTGCTTAATGGAAAATCTGAACTGCATTTATTCAAATCCATGAAAAATGTTACTCCGAGGAGTGCCAGAGGATTTATTTTACCTAATTCTGAGATTGGACCTATAGAGCCAGTATTGCATAACATGTACAAAATGGCTCACTTACAACAACAGCATTTAACATAGCTTTTCCAAACAAGTTCCACTTGCCTCTAAATGTGGCCTCTCCCCTTTTTTTGCACCATAGGCATGTCGATAACATTACTGCAAAAGCGTCTTGACGAATTTATTTGTTAAGCGTGCTGGCGTAGACCGTAAGTCCCTAATTCAACTTTATTGCGTATGCATTCATTCCATCCTAGAATATGCATGCCAGGCTTTCCATTCCAGCTTGCCAGCCTGTTTGTCCGACCAAATAGAGAGGGTTCAGAAAAGAGTCTTAAGAATTCTATTCCCAGAGGTCTCATACAGCAAGGCCCTGGAAGATGCGGGTTTGAAATCACTCTTTCATAGACGGAAGGAATTATGTAGCACTCTGTTTAAACAAATTGTAGAGAGCGATGGCCAGCATAAGCTAGCTGGCCTGCTGCCCGTGCAAAATGTCAATCAGAGATATAATTTAAGGAATAGGCTTATGTTTTCAATCCCACATGTAAAAACAAAGAGGTTTAGAAATTCTTTTATAGTGCAAATATGCAGATAAGCAACAAATGTAAATAGAACTTATATTATAGATTTGATGTAATCTTATCACTTTATTATTAATAATTGTTCTTTCTTGTGATATATAGTTAGGAATTTTTATAAGGTTAAATTTTTATCACATGTACATAACGCAAGAAATTCAGCTTATAGCCGCTAGTTGTGATTTTGAATAAACGATTTATCTTTTTATCTTTCTTATCTCTAGAATCAAGTGCAATTTTCCAATGTCTTATCATCATAGTTATTTTCTAAATCTAAAATCTAAATCATGACCTTCTATTTTGCTTATTTCCTAAAGGTTTTCCATCTTCATTTTACCTTTTCCCCAGGCAGTTTGGCAAAGTTAACAGTGGATTTGTGATCAAAACACGGTGGAGGAAGAGATCTCAAAACAGCTCTGCCTTCCTCTTTGTGATTTTTTCCAGTTTTCTAAAGGTGAGAGTAATGGGAGAGTAACATTTCATGTTTACCCACTGATTCGCTATTGGCTTGCAAGTCAGTGGTTTTAGCTAAAAATCGTCTCCTGAACTTTCTGTTGTGACACTGCATTTATCTGTTCCAAAAGGTTTACTTTGTGTTAATTGTCTCACAGTGTACTTTTGGGTTTTAGTAGTGGACAATTGGTTTCTTTGCTAATTGACTTGTCCTGATGATCCACTTATATCCTGAACTGCTGTTAGGGAAAGTTCATTTAATATGACAGGGGGGGGGGATGAAGATATTGAGAGGGGGCTCCAAAATTTTTAGACACCCGAAGGGGGGCTCTGAAAAAATTGTTGCGCTAGGAGGGGGGGCTCCGAAAATTTGTATACTTCGAAACCAACACATGACATCATCATACAGATCGGATGGTTTTCAACTCAACAATTTAATGACCTGTGCAACTCAGCTATATCACGTGGTTTACAGATATAACAAATGTAGTCTCAGTAATTATTACACTCTTGTTCATCCCAAAAATGCTTTAGAAAATTGTATCACAACTGTATCTCAAGTTTGTCATAGTATAAACCATTGAAGACAATAACGGTAAATATATTTAATACAGTCTAGCGATCTTTTTTCAGGGGAGCAAAGGAATTGAAGGAGGAGGGGGGGGGGGGGTCTGAAATTTTTTCGACTACCAAAGAGGGGGCTCCTAAAAAATTGAACCGCTAGCGAGGGGGGCTGCTAAAATTTCAAGCTTCGAGTTTCAATATCTTCATCCCCCCCCCTTGTCATATTAAATGAACTTTCCCTTAAGTATTGGCAACTCCTTGCACTTTAAAAAAAATGCAGCTTTACGTCTCCTACTGGAGACAGGACCACTATTTTTTTACGTGGTCATCCAAGCCACGCAAAGGTCTAACCATTTGCAGGGAAAAGGTAGTACCTTCATTTCTCAGTTATTTGAAGACCCTGTGAGTATTAGTCCAACCCCGGGAATCAAACTCACGACCTCTTGCTCAGCAGTCAAGTGCTCTACCAGCTGAGCTAATCCTGTTGCGGTTTTGATACTAATGTTGCTCCATTCCTTTCTGTGTCTAAGACTAGGGTGACCTAGTTTGTGCCTTCCTGTCCTGTTTTTTTATCATTGCTTTTAATCTCATTCTCTGTAGCATCATCTCTTCTGCCGCCATCTTCACCATCTTGGGAAGCAAGGGTTAAATCACGTTAAATCCCCGCTTCTGTCCCTACTTCCTAAGGGGGCTAGGGTTTCAATTGACTGATGTATAATGATAAACAGTTCTCCAAGTACATCCACAGCTCAATGGTGCATGTTGAGCCGTTTAGATTTGTTGCACTACAGTATGTGGTCCTTGGTCCGCGTGTAAAAGTCATTAACTTGAATATCTTACCCAAATCTTCACGTAACGAGCTGAAATACTCCCTGAAGATAGCTTTTATGTTCCTGTCAATAATCCTGAAGTTTCAAGTTCCAGACATAAATATTTTGCTTGGAATTCGCAAAAAGGCGACCGTTTTCGATGGTCCTTGGTCCGCGAATCTGGTCCTTAGTCCGCGTCTCAGGTAAGCAGCATGATAAAAACGTAAACATGTTAAAGTTTCCACACAAAAACGTGATTTTCACAGTATTTCTTGTACTTTTTTCTTTTCTTGATGCAATTAAGCTAAAGTTTTTTTCGGAAGATGTTGTGAGCATAAGATAATCTGCTTTTCTTTCAAAGACTTCAGACAACAGTCTCCTCGAGTCTCCCGCACGAGCGTCGACGAGCGGTTTTTAGATCTTTTTAGCGCGGTCGAAAATAATTACCAAAAACTCTGTATGTACTTGAGGTATTAAAAAAGAGAACTTGTCGACATGTATAGGGACGACTTTCAAAACATTCTTCGAAAACAAAGGCCGTCGCTTTTTTACTTTGGTAAGTTTTATTCAACCAAGGTCATAGGACGTGGACCAAGGACCGCTAAGCGAAATTTGGTGATATTTTTCAAGAGTCGCTAAAACAAAAAATTCAGAGTCTACAGCAATATGCTTCCAACAGCAGAAATAAGTTGATCTGAAAACCTGTTCTGCAAAAAGGCAAGTCTTCCCGTTGCGTTTTAGTTATTCGCAGGCTAAGTAAACATGACCACGTACAGTTTACGGTGCCGCAAAAATCCAAACTTCAAGAAAGACAAATTAACCTACCTGTCAACAAACTTTAATTTCGCGTCTTCACCGGCAGCAAGAAGGCTGAAACTTCGTCATATGAAAGAATGCTAATCAGTAAATCACGATATCTTTCATTACTCAACGTATTTTTTTTCTCGACGAAATATTTTATCATTTTCGGAAAAGAGGCGGACCAAGGGCATCGGGGACTTGCGCGGACCAAGGACCACATACTGTACATAATAAACGGGCAAAAACATTTATATCGGTATTTTCAGTTAGTGGAGTCAATGAGTGTGTTGTCATTCGCTAAGCTGTACTTTGGAGTGTGCGAATAATTTTCTCTTTGAAAACTTTGTGTAAAAAACAATTCTTTGTGCTCGTTAAGTAGTTTTAAATCATTGTTATTCTGAATAGACTTTGTGCATTGCTCTTAATGTTAAGATAGTAACCTTTGAAAACTACCAGGTAAAAAAAGGTCTCATAATGTTGATGCATACTCTTTTGAGCAGGCACTAGCTTTCGCCACTAAGTTAAACCAGGCTCGTAAGATGCTTATCGATATTACTCAACTTTGTCTTGTCCGGGATAACTAAATTCTGGCCATTTTGGATTTCGATTTTGGTTGAATTTTTGTTCTTAAAACTGTAATTTTTCTATTTGTTACAGACTACCAGACGGGACTTTTTTGAGTCCTAATTTTGTAGGTAAAATTGAGCAAATCTACAATTTTGATTTGGGCTTCATTAAATCCTTTGTAAGTTATAGAATATTTTAGAAGAAGCCACTCCCAATGTTAGCACAGTCACTGACAAAACTTAATAAATACAACACTTACTGTATCAGTGGCCATCCAGGGGGTCAGTCCTTGGGACATACATCGTATACGGGCATGGTTTGGGATTTTGTTGACCTTTTTTTTTTATTATTTTTAGTCTTGGCCAGGGGGGTTGGATCACTTTTGCCAGTTAGAGTAGGGTCTCAGGAGAAAGACCAAGAGGATTTGGAATGCTCCTTGTAGTCAAGAAGGAAAACATGCAATAAATCCTCTCAAAATTTTTCTTGATCACAAAGCACGAGTTGGAGATTTTTTTTTCTGCAGCAAAAGTGAGCAGTAGAGCCTACTACCAGAACTGGATATAAGAAGCAAAGGACTCTGAGAAAGTCTTAATGAATCCTACAACATCAATGTTGTCCTTTGCCAATTCCATGAATGAATTTCAACACATGCAGGAGGCAGGTGCAATTTGGTTGGATTTCATTTTCAGCTGTTTTGATGTATCCAGATAAAGTACAATTCCCACCATGAAAATTAAATTTTATACTTCTTTCTGGTAACTAAAGTAGCCTTGTAGGTATCTTATGAATCATCAAAGTTCAGCTAGTTAGAGCACTGCTGTGGTGTCATACAGCTGTAGAATTATGTGATTAAATTGTTGAGGGTTTATCACAACTACTTAAGTATAACTTGTCTTTCTTCCCTCGAAATAAATGCATTCTAGTTCAAAATTGACGTGTTCATCAATTCCTCTGCAACTCTTATTATTTAGTCAAATCTTACTTCCAGTTGTTACCAAATATGCATAATTCATGTTAAAATGTAGTATTATTTCCTGTATCCATCTGGTATGATAAAATCCGAGAGTAAATACTAACATGTCAAGCGCAAGGTTGACCCTGCACTGTTACCTCCTAGAATCAAGGGTTTTCATTAAGAATTCCAGTAGCAGGAGATAGGTGTAACATAACAGGAGAATACATTGAAGAGGCTCCACATCTGAATAAAAAACAGTCATAACCAGCTACCGATTGTTAGCTGGAGAATTCTGTGTAGTAAACAGAGAATTCTCTAATCTCTGATGCCTAATAAACACCCTGCAGAGAGCCATGAAAGACTTTGTCAATTGTAAAGTCACTGTGTTTTAGTTCATTTGTACAGACGTCAATTATCACTTCAGTTCAATCATATTTTTTTCTCATAGAGAAGAGTGGCCTCCCAAGAATGGACATAAAATAGGCAACATAGCAGCTGGCTATCAACATGAAGTGCACTCTAGAAGCAAAGCCTGCAAGCAGCATGATGATGTTTTCGTAAAACAATGCAAAGAAGAAACTGTCTACAGCCCAGAGCATCATTTTTTAAACACTTTATTCTAAAGCATTGTAAGGACATCGTATTACAGTTTCATCAAAGTTATCTCAAGCTTAAGGTTTATTATTTCTATGTTATTGTTTGCACATATGATACCTGAAACATATGAAGCATCAAGTATATTGTATATTTCTGTCAACAAAATTAAAACAATTCTAGAGAATAACATTTGTGTAGAAAATAATATCTCAGGTTACAAACAAATTGTAGAAAGACTAATAAAATTTGAAACAATAGTCATATTTGTGAGGCTTGTAAAAGTTTCTCAGTACAGTCGAATTGCCAAGAACATGTGTTTTTCCAAAAAAAGTGATACAATGAGGCTGAAGATCCAAAATGGCCTTTGTAAGTAATGCAGCTTCAGATAAAAGCGTTCGTTTGTTTTTTTGCAGCATGCCGCATTTATTTATTTTTCTCTTTTTTTATTTGTCTGTTTATATGCTTATTTATTTATTAATTTATTAATTTATTTATTTGTTAAAGTTGTTCACTCGCAACTTCAGCAAAGTAGTTTTTCAGACAAGCTGTCTCTTACCAATAATGTTTAGTTCTACTAATATACTAAACTAAATTAGCCTACAGCAATAGAATAAAATTGAATTGTTAAAAATCCATGGAAAATAAAGAGATTCAAAAGCGGACATTATTCAGGCGGGCAGGCCTGCTATGTCATGGATGTGCTGTGTACTTAGGATCCAGACAAGTAAAAGCTAAAACTGAGGGGGGGGGGAGGGTGAGGGGGGTGAAGCAAACTGTTTTTGTGGAGGGAATTTAATTTCGACCTTATCAGTTGTTTCTTCTGAGCTAACCTGGATAAAAATTGATGTTGAAAGGAAACTTCATCAACCTTAATTATTGTCATTATTGACACAGACTCAGGTTGTTTTACAATATAATTTTACATTATTTACTGTCTCGGTAAGGTGTAGAATTTTCCACAATGATCTACTATGCGACCAATGGTAAGGGTATCATTACCAGCTAAAATTTTTATTATTTAAAAAGCATTGTAAAAGAAACAGGTGGTATTATTTGTATTCTAACAGCTGCTGCCTGCTGCACTTACAGCAATACAGTGTTCATTTGACTCGTTTTTGTTTTCTATTTTGTTTTGTTTTGTTTTTCTCAACATCCTGGAGTAAGGAGTGGTTTGCGGACAGCTGAAGCCTTATTTACACCCAATTACAAAAACGTTGTCATAGAAAAATGAAAAAAAGGAAAAAGCCAAAAAAGGAATTAATTTGGGTGATAAGCCTAATGAATGCATTGGAAGCGTCCGCACATGGACGTCGCTATTTGCCTGTTGGAATTACCCATTGTTTTAAAGCTGAAAGACAATAAAACTGAAAATTCCAGCAGGGAAATGCAACGACTGTAAATGAATCTACCATAAGAATGTGGCTTAATTAGCCTATTTAATTCCTATTTGGCTTTTTCCTCTTGTCATTTTTCTATGACAACGTTATTGCAGTTAGTTGTATCTACATGTGTATTATCAATAATACTTAGGTATTTCAGTCATGTAGTCTGATTTAAGGAAAGTGCTTTAAGTTTTAATCCATTTGAGCTAGCTTTTGTAGACTGGCGCCACTTAGGTAAAAATCAGTATACTAATACGGTAGTATTTCTCGTCCTGTTTAATATGCTGCCATCAAATTATTACTCCTTCCATAATAGTGATGATTTTTATTGAAATTTTTAAGTGGTTCTGAGAGTGGCAAATGAACAGAATAAATTGAGCGATTTGTAAATTATCCGCGCTCACGCGCTAACGTCCTGCCATGTTTACATACTTGTTTCCGGTAAGGTGAAGGAGGAGCCGGAAACTAGTAATAATCGCTCTCCATCATGCAATGATGGGGCAATTGCGTACGTACCGGCTCAAGAGTTAAAACAATATTTGAAAATTTTTTGGCTGCACTCTATCCTTTATTACGCAAATATAATTGTAAGTATTGTTTACTAAAAACTACGCCAGTACCAAAAGAAATGGCCATGGGGTACACGGCGTTCGGTTAGTCTCGCTCTAAAATGTGTTCTCGCGTGCACTGTGGCCCTATTTTTTTTTTATTTCGGTAGAGATATTATTCTCATGAACTCTTTTGCTCTCATTCGTTCACAAAGAAATCAGCATTTTATGCTTTGTTTCCATCTAATTTTAGAGTTATAGTAGTGTCATTGCTCTCCTTAAGAGGGCGGAAGGTATTAAGGTTTCAGCCAGTCATAGTTTAAGACACCGTATAAAAGATAAACAAGCGAATGAACAAGGCGTTCCTTGCGTCAGTCGAAAGAGCGGCCTGCCATATGTGGAAAGCTTGAATTTTTTATGAATTGGCGGCTGTCCGATCGCTGGAAGGAAATCGTTGCTGGTGGCTGCGCAAGTGGTAACATAATGCATCTAAAGTTAGGATTCAAATTAGCTTTAAGCGCCAGTTATTGATATGCAAATCCAGAGATGTAGTTGCACGGTTCGATTTCCACGAAGTGAATGAAAGACGCCTATTCAGCCGGCCCAGACGAAGCCGATAAAATTTCCAATGGATTTGTTGTGTTGCCTGTGGAGATGTAGTTGCTTCTTGGTCAGTATAAAATCTTTATTTTCGTGATCCCGTTGGGTACGTTTTGGGAGATCGCGGAAGCCGTTCTTTCTTTTATCATGGTGTTCATGGCGACGATTTTATCTCTCGATGATCAAACGGGTGACATGCCTGACAATCTTCAGCTTGCTGACGGCGAAATATCCATCGCCTTCTGGTCTTTCGTGTTTGTATTGCTTCTCATTGTAACCGTGTGGTTTTACATCACACAAATCGCGCCCATGCGAAGGTCTGTGCGTCAAGTCGAAGAGGAAGTTGACAAAGAAGAAGAGGTCGCAAAGAGAATTCTTGAACATTTAAGCAATGATTTGCGGTTTAAGAACGAAAAGTCGAAAGATGAAGGCTCTGAAAATACTTCTCCTGTTCATCTTACGAAAATAACAGATTCCAGCATCTATGAGTACGTAGACGACGAAATCCATATTCATTACTCGCAGTACGCATGGGATGATGACAGTTACAACACAAATGATTTTCCAGTTGCGACTGGAACCGCTCGAAGACATTCAATGGAAAATATGGACCTTATTTTTCCCGGGGTTTTACCGAGTATTGTTGAAGAAGAGGAATTAGAAGAGGAAACTGACACCGATGTCAGTGAGAAATCACAAGAAAGCGGCGATTTTGATGGTGATCAATATGCGGGGGACTTAACTAATTTTTCTACGATTTACAAGCCGAACGGTAACAACAATGTGGAGTCAATAAATAGCTTACTAAACAAGGAGCAAAATAACCTTGAGTGCGGCGATATAAATATTGTCATATCTTTGGACAATCAGGAGTTGCAAGCGAAAACCTCAGGTACGAAACAAGATCGCATGTTAAATGATGATCAGCACGGTAACAGCAGTCACTCGCTGTACTCATCGGCGGAAGAAAACAACGTACTGAACGTTAATTCGTCAATCGAAACTGCAACAAAGCAGCAAAAAAACGGCTCTTCGTTTTCTTCCCGGACTAACAATATTACTCAAGTAGAAAATACAAAAAACTGCAAAATTAGCACTCCAACTGCAGAGCCACGTCACACCAACAAAGAATTCGAGAGCGTGATGGCAAAAGTAGATTTCACTTCCGGTAGCGTCGACACTAATTTAGACAAAGACGACAACTGCTCACAAATCATCCCAGGAATATCGCACGACGATGTGATCGAACAAACTTCAGTGTTTACATTATCTAGCTCTGACCTTAAGCCAAGTTTCACACAAGATGCAAATGAGTTTGAAGAACATGAAGTTAAAATATGCACATCTAACATGCAGAAAATTCCCTGTGTCGCCGAGGATCAACATTCCGCACATGATTTCCGCTTAAAACATGTAATAAATCCAGAACATGTTGTGAACAACAACCTTTCTGAAGAAGTGAACAAAGTTGTTATGGAACACACCGGGGGATTAACAGGAAGAAGTCAAGTCGGAGAACTCCTTTTATTAAATGGCTTTGGCGATGACATAGCTGATTCTAATGGCCACACAACCCACGCTTGGACATTTTTTGCTATGTCGGGTGGCGATGAAACAACGACGCCAAAGAAGACAAACTTAAAGGAGGACGTTCAATCAGATAAAATGGAAATTCCATCAATTATCGTTGACTCTTATGACGAGAGTTTACCGATTGATAAGTCGATTGTTGATGTGGACTCAAAGGTTGTCATGAATGGACATGAAATAACCTCGCAGTATGGCGATTCCTTTGAAACTGACATTGATATTGATGATATTGATTTGAGCGAAAGTGATAACTTAGACAACGAAGGTGACTTTAGCATTTATTTTAAAAGACACGTCTCTGTTACAGACTTAGATAAAATTCTGGCAGAGGAGGGACAAGATGATGTAAACTGTAATGCTGGCGATGTTTTGGAAACAGATCTGTCAATTGAAGACCTTCAACGAGAGCAACCTGAAATCGACATACCAAGGACTAGTAATGAGGTATTGCAAAAGACGGAAATGGATAATACGCTTTCAACGATCGAGAAAACATGCATGGAAGACGAAATGGACACGAGTATTGAAAAGTCTAATATTGTTAGTACAACATTAAGTGATAATTTAGAAATGCAAGCAGGAAGCGATGAGGACCTTGATGATACCGACTCAAGCGATGATTCCCTCCCTAAGAGTTACACGGTAGAGTCGTTGTTTGACGATGTTTCGTTCCAAAAGGATGGTGTTTATGGTGAATTAGTACTGTCCCAGCTTAATGAAAATCATGGCAATAAACCGGACGAAAGTAGTTTCGATCCTCATGGTGACGATTGGCACGGATTTTCGGAGGAAATCAGGCGTGAGCGAAAACCATTTCTTTTTACAATTCCCGAGGACGATGAGATTGGACTCGCAGAATTTGACAGCATCATAGAAAACTGTTTTGTTGGAGCAATGGATAATCCCATTTATGATAATGAGGTAACCCGTACCAAGGCAACCGAGCAAGAGAAACTATTAAATGCTCCTATAGCTACAGTGGAAACTTTTGACTCTGATCTTGATCTAGATGAAGTTGAAGAAAGCAATAAATCTGAAAAAGAAATATATCAAGGAGAAGCAACTGAGAATAAGCAGCAGACGCTGGATTTTGTCGTGACAAATGACGCTGAAACGGAAATAGACAAAAAGGATGGTGTGACGGAGGGCAAGAACAAAAGCAATGGCGTGACTGAAAATAGTGAGAACATTGGTATTGCAAACGTCGAACAAGGAACAGTAACGACAATTAAAACTGATTTTGATCTTGAGGAAATGAAACCTAGCAATAATTCCGACATAGAGAAACACCATATAGAAACCGCTAAGGATGAAGAGATTCTGGAGAACAGAACTGATGAAAGCGTTAGTGAAACTACAAACAGAGTTGAAAGCGTGAAGAATCTGGCGGAGGGCAAAAACAAAGACCCTGAAGAAACTGATCCTCAAATGAACGTTTCCAATAGAAATGACGTGATTCAAAGAAGTGGGAAAAGTAGTGATGAAAATGTTGAGGCTAAAGACGGTCCAAGGTCAGTGAAAATTGTGAAGAAGATCAAAATATTTGTCAGGAAAGAGGGTAATATTATGGAGGACTTAATTGTAGGTGCAAAGCAGGTCACTGAGGATGTTGCGATGAAAGAAGTGGATGAAAAGATTATTCCCGCGTGTCGCGAAGCCAGTAACCATCATCCATACGATGTTGTTAAATCAGAAATTTGCCCAGTTGATCAGTTTATGAAGTGTATGACCTTTCATGAGGAAAAGTGTAATCATACAGAGATCAATGCCAAGGACTTGGAGGTCGTAACCAAGACAGGCCAGTATTTTTCTAATGAACCCGAACCCAAAACAGTGCCACGCATGACTGAAACTCAAGGCTCAACCGCACGTCAGCATCTTGTTTCTGTCGACGCGAATGGCCTGGCAGACACCGTCGATGACACAATAGAGGCTCAAGTATTACCTATGGAGGCTCAAGATTCAGAGGGTGAAATTAAGTATGTTTCCGCCTCAAACAATCAAGTAAATACCAAAGCAGGGCCTGCCTTGAAAGTCCTGACTGAAAATGAGGAGACTCTCTTGTCACCCATGAATGTCCATGCTCTTGGCAGCGAGGTCACCCAGTTTTCAACTCAAAACTCGGTAGAAAATAATAATGTGGCGATTGTCGTAGGACGGAAGACAAGAGTCGTAGCTAACACCATGGAGACGGAAATGTCACAAGTGAAAGCCCAGGAAGGTACCACCTCTAAAGATGTTACGCCAGCAGCAAAGGGAATAAATAAAACGACAAAAATTAATGTTAAAGAAAAAGCAAGTAAGACCGCTGAAGATTCAAATATGAGTAACAAGATTGTCTCGATGCACCCTTCTACTCAGTCTCAAGAGTGTTCTTCCATAAAAATAAACGTTTCTGACGTTCGAGGAAAACTTACGAAAATTGGAAACAGAGAAAACAAGCAGGTATGGTCTTCCAGAGTATCGCCCCCAACAGCTTTGGAAACAGAACCTCGTAAGGTATACCTTTCCTCTTGCAATATACGCCTTACCAAAAGTCATGAAGATCTTAGACTTGTTGAAAGAACGCCTGGAAGAAAACAAGAAAGTATTGAAGAGGAAGAGGTACCTGACACGCAATCGTCGCAAAGTGAAGGCTCACCAACGCCGACGCCCCCGGAATTGAACCGTCCTTTCTTAGAGGATGATGTGTTCAAGTCGGTTGAACCTCCCTCTGTTCACACGGCAAAAATTACTGTTCAAGAGGTTGTAGGTGACAGGCAAAGGATTGTAATTCTGAATGTGAAGAAGAAGGTTCATGGCAAAGCAAGATGGAAGTCGCTTAATGACCTTGACTCTCTGAAGATGGCCTTGTCTCCACGGCGAAGTAGCGATTTAGGAATAGGCTTTGCAGGTGTTCCCGAGGAAGGAGAAAGAATCGAAGAAAACAACATGAAAAGTGAGAAGAAAGCTTCTATACAGATTGTACCTGTCGTCGAAGTAAAATCTCGGCGAGACCGCAGATCCCTGCCTGAGATTCAGCCTACAGGACAACTTGTCAAGGCACCTGTCCTCAGTGCAACTGCTCAACAAAGTTGTGAGACCCTGACAGAAAGTGAAGTTGAAAAGACCTCCAAAGATAGCGTTATGCCTGTATTACACGAAGAACCACTGCAAAATTGTCAACCTGTGATAGAAAAGGAAACACATGCCTATTCAAAGTCTAAGCTGCCCATAATTAAAGCTACAGCACTGCAGAATCGTGAAACCAGCCCTGGAAGTATGAAACAATCAGAAATATTCAAGGCTACTGTTACATCAACAGTTGAAGAGAACATTTTTAAAACTAGCAAAACTGAAGTGGAGGCTAATGTAAAGGTTGAGAATCAGCCTGAAATAAAAGCGCGCGTTTCACGAACATACCCAGAAAAAGTTAACAAACCGTGGATAGGTAGCGCATTGGTTGCAGAAGAAAATATACAAAATACCAAACCACCGAAAAGAATAACCCGTGTGCATGATATATCACGAGCTGAAATTATTCCGAAATTAGAGAAAGAGAGCGTGACCAAAATTGCAGATGAAACCACCAAAGGAAACAAGATCAAAATTCACGTATCTCATCCGTTATCGTCGCCAGATATGAAGATGGATTTTATCCAGCCTAGCGTACCTCCTTTTGTAGAAGATGTCCTGCAGAAAGGGCTGAAAATCGAAAGTGGTGCACCAGAGAGATCTTCTACGTTAGACGATAGTCGGCGGCAAGAACGTGAATCTGGGTACGGAAGCTTGGGCCTAAGTCCGTCTGCGTCTGTTAATACACAAGTAAATAGTGTTTTTGTTCTAGAGGGAGCCAACGAGCGCAGCATAAGCAGTCTTAGCAGTATTGATGACGAGGAGTTCGGAGGAGAAACTCTTGGAGAGAGTAAAATTATGGTTACAGATTTGGATGCCTTGTTAGCTCAGCAAGGTGTTCAACCACCAGCTAGTTCGGACTTAAAGAAACCAGAGGTAAAAGAAAAAGTTCGAGTTCTGGCGCGTATGGAACCGGTTCCAGAAAAGGTTGTTCGAATCAACAAAGAGGAAGACAATGATGGCGTGGTTATTCGGCACGTCAAACACGAAGAACCTATCGTTGTACAACCAATCATCATAGCTGACACAGCTGAGCAGGAGGAATCTCAAGTGATTTCTGCGTTCTTAGTCAACGATGGATACGATGATGATGAGCTCGATGAAGTATTTTTGGAGGAGTACACGCCGTATCACGAACCTGATAGGTCCTCCAGTCGCACACACAGCAGCGATGCAGATTCAGAAACCTCATCTGTAAGCAGCTTACCGCATAAGCACCGACATCGACAAACAAGGGCAGCACTCGAAGCTGGAAAGAGTGGAATGAGAAATCGCACCGAATCTAGTGGTTCGTCTAAAACAGCTACCCCTGTTGCAGAGTTAGAGAATGAGGGTGCATCAACTTCTTCTAGATCAAACACGCCCAAAAGCAATGGGTACGAGATCTCGCGGGACGAATCGTTTGCAAATCACTCACCTGAGCAAACGCATAACGTGAAAATGGAGAAGCCAAGGGACTTTACCTCTGCTTTTACTCCCGCTTCCCAAACAGCAGAATTTCGGCGTCCACGAGCAAGGTCTCACGGTCATAAGTCTGACGAGGAACTTGTTGTTCAAAACAGACTTCTCGGAGATAGTTTCCAGGACGTTAAGACATTTCCAGGGCTCAATATTGACAAAGAACGCTTTAAGGAGGCCGCTGACAGTCGCAAATCAATGCCTGATCTGTCTGTTAGAAAAGATCAAACGATAAACGACTCGCCATATCTGCGCGGACTAAGTGCACACACTCGCAAGTGGCTCAGTCAGAATGTTTGGATGGATCCAAATGGGCCACAGGAGGAGGAAGACCTCATGACTTCAGACATGTTCTTGTACCCGTCCAATCGCTTTCAGCCAGGATCAAACATTGATGCTAGTTTCCTATCGTTAGCCAATGAAAGAGACTTTCCTGATGATATATCGGTGTCCACGTTATCAACTCGTCCTCAAAGCCCAATGTCAGAGTTTTCGTTTGCTGGGGAGACACCCTACTGGGGACTTCGTAGAGGTTCAACAACCGTGATCAAGTGTTCGAATCCGCGGTGTGAAAAAGAAGAGGTTTTGTTTACCGGCGAGAAAACCACCTACACTTCTTGTCCTGCTTGTTTTACCTACTACTGTTCGCGTACTTGTAGACGTATGCACTGGACTGAACATAAGAAAGTCTGCTTCTTTGGTCGAATAAACAGTTACATCCGTTCGTTTATTTACCTCTGTCATAAGAAGGAGAGTCTGAAATTCCAGCTTTCTCAGACAGCTAAAGATGGCTACAAAAAGAAGGGTCGTGGCAGTGTTATGGTGACATTTGCTTCTGCACAGTTGGCCAGAAAGTTCATGACTAGCGGCTGCACATTTTTCCCCAGCCCTCCAACGTACTCCTCATTAGTTAATGTCCGTGCAGAAGGAGTCATCAGTAAACATAAGATCTCGTTAATGCAGCACGTCCAAGACTACCAACCCGAGGAAGAATTTGTTCTTAATCTCGCTATAATTGCTGGTAAAATGGAGGATCTTCCCGCCAATCCTGTGCCGCGAAGGAAAGTTAGTACTGTCCTTCAAGTAATTAAGATTCCTTTAAGCAGTAAACTCAAAGAGACGCCGCCTGCGGCTTCTCTTCCAAATGACCCGAATACTGAGATAAAGGTTTTCTATCTACCGAAGTGTTCTCGCCACGAATTTGTCACTGACAACGAAGCCCGCAGGCATTACTGCAGAAACATTTCCAAGAATCTGAAGCAGTATGGAATTCGACTGAAACATGACTATCCGGATGTGTATGAGAAGCTTTGCCGGTATGTGGATCAAAATATTCACTTCACTGAACCTCTCACGGTGTACGGAAACCATGGAAAAAAGATTGTCATGTGTAAAATAATGCCTGAGACTGGGAATGATGAGACCAAGACTTAATACAGCTGTGGAAGGTGTCATCAGGTAAGGCTGGCCTCTTCGTCATTACATTATGGGTTGGGTCACCTCGTAATCGTAATCATATCGGCACAAAGGCACCATTCCTATTTATACGCTCCGCAATTATTTGGTGCTTAACTTTGAACTCTCAGAGTACAAATTTATGGTTGACTTCTCAGATAATTTGTGTGTGTTTTGTTTAGCATAGCGCACACCCCTAAAAAGGTTTACCAGGTCGTTACGCATGTGAAAGCCTCGAAAATGGTACGGAAGAAGCTATGAAGAGAAAAGAAAAGGAAACGATCGCGACGTTCTAAAAATTTCTTTTGGAGAAGTTATATTTCATTTTGGCACATGTCTGTCGGTTAAGATCGTCAGTAACTCTTTTTGACTAACTCCCTGCAGCTCGCTGGCCTAGTTTTTAGTCCTGTAATATTTTGAACAGACAAATTGAATTTATTATTATAGAGACTAGTTGATTGTTAAGATATCAAATTTCAATGATAGATACGCTTTTTAAAATTAGTCTTTAAATAAGAAAGTATCTGGTACGATTTATGAGGTACAATACTTGAGATTATAAAAATGTACGTAATATTGTATATAGATGAAGAAAGGATTTTCTTCATTATTAAATTTATTATTTCCTCTCTAATTTTAGGTTTTCTTTGCCTTCATCCATATCATATCACGTGTACCATAAAATATTTAGTGGCAACTGAAGTTGCTTTGTTGTATAACTTTATTTTAACCTTTTTGTTTTTCAGACCTTATCTTCTAACAACCCCATGCTAAGCCTTGCAGAGCAGACTAGCTTCTATTCAACGACGCCACGCGGTTAAGGTGGCTTACTGTCTTGAAGATTCAGTTTCGCTGAAGGGGAAAAGTCGTATTAGGCCAAATACGCCTCCTGAAGAAGCATTTTTAAACAACTTCCTATCCGAATTAGTTGTTTATTTAGAGTATCTGTTTATCAGTTGTCTCAATATCAAATTGCACGAATGGACGATTAGTTTTAATTGGCTGTTGCAGCAAAAAATATCTTTTGCGATAAAACAGTTTGCATTAGTTATCGGACAGGCGAAATCGGTCAGTTAAACAGCTAGTGAAGATTTAAACTGGAAATACCTATCCTAACCTATTTTAACCAATCACAATGAAGGAAAAATCCTGAATTAGAGCTTCAGTTTGAGAATTAACTTGTCCAATCATAAAAAGACTTTTAAGCGATGTCTGTGCTTTGGAAAGTTGTCCAAGCTGGAAGTCACTGTGTAAGTTTACGTAATAACTGACAAGAGATATTCATTACTCAGAGTTTTTCTTATTCTGGCATTGATACAACTAGAAGCATATAACTTACCTTTGTCTGGTAGTTCAGGGATAATCGTGTTCGTAATTTCAAATCACCCCATTCTTCCGGGAATGCCTTTCTCAGTCCATTACTTCACGTGGTCGTTGTTATTGAAATCCAAAAGAAAACTTATCTGATTTTAGACATAATAATCATGCAGATGTTTTATCTATACAAGAAACAAGAAATGATTATGCAACAATATCATTCTAAATAGATGCCGTTTGGATTTCATGAAGTTTTCCATTTAGAGCACAGCAGCAAACGTTTGATCATACATATGACTTTCTAGCGGTTTTTAGGGTTAGTGACTAGAAAAAATTAATTTAATTTTTCACATGGTTTTTAGCATTTTCCGTTAAACATCTCTCAAAACAAACAGGCTGGGTCGTTTAAACGCAAAATAGCGCGCATGATAATGGCGATCAGACAAGGATTGCAACTACGAAACGTAGCCAACAGGATTGTCGTAATGTACATGCTTGCGCAATCTTACTATTGTGCTTGTCTTTTATCAGTGATGTATCCATTACAGGGACGTTTGTTTACGGGTTGATATTCTTAGTAAATTGCAACGAAATAAGGACTTTTTGAATTCGTATAACTGATGTTGTTAGGCTTGCTTTCCATATTATCGACTGGATCCCTTGAGTCGTCTCAAATTCGTTCAAGTGATACAGACGACCACATGGGAACACCTCTAATTTGATGCGCGCCGACGTTTGTTTCGACCGGAGCAATTCCCTGGATAGGACCGCCGCATATACAGCTATTTCTAAAAAGGTTGTCGGAAAAACTGTGCACGCGACAATCCCAAAAGGTAATATGGGATATGAAATACGTCCATGGCCTCTCTTGCTATTGTTTGAAATTTCTTTGAAAAACAGTGAACTAAAAACCACCCACAATACCTTTCGGGATTGTCGCGTGCACTTTTTCCGACAACCTTTCTCGAAATAGCTGTATATATATCTACATTATCTTACAGTCGTCAGTGTGGTGTCCATCGTCTCAATGTTTTCAATAGATCGATACCGACGATGTTGACGATAATATGGAGACCAGGTTTTGAACAATTTTGTTTATTTAGCATGAATATAGTAGTATTTGCATCGAGTTTAGGAAGCGAATCTGTGCAAAAGTGTGAAATTGTTATACATAAACGCAAACAGAGTGAACATTTACAACTGTAGACTCGATTAACAGCCGTTAAGCGCTCTTGCGAGAGCAGGAATAAAACTGGACCCGGCCCTTAAACGGGTGGAAATCCGCGGCGAACCTATTCCCTGGGATTAACTTAATCATTTTGATGCATTAACACTTGGTAACCTTTGAAACATGTATATATTATTGTCTATTTACCGCCCCGCTGTAGTCAAGGCATACATTTTGAAGTAGCTAGCTATCGAATAGTTTTTATTTATGTGTCAAGACGATTGCTATGTAATCATTCCTAAAAAATATTGGTTATGGTAAAACAACACGTAAATAAAGTGTTACTGTGATCAATTTATTGGTTTTAAAACAATGTTGCTTTGGCGACATCTAAGACGAAATCACTTTTCGAGGGGGTAGATGTGGAGTAGAAAAAGGGAGCTTACCCCCTAGGTCTTGATCGTAAAAAGGCAATTAATTAAACACGCTTATTATTATTATTCTTTTTTTTTCTGTTTCCACAATCAAAGATATAAAAAACTGACCCGCAGTGTAACCGGTGTTCTTCGGGGCGGGTTAGTGAAAATATTGGCATTGAAATGTGTAGGTAAAGCAAAAATAAAGATAAGTGTTTATTAATCGTATGTTTGCGGAAGACATAGAGTCAACTCTGTCGTAATCGACCACCCTTGGTGCAAAGCAAGGAGGTGCATGGTCGTCTACGGGAAAAAATCAAGAAAATAAGCTCAAAGTGAACTGATTAACTCGAGCACGTAAAGGTATTACCTAACAAGCTTAATTTTTTCGCAAACAGAAAACTGGCAAAAATGTTTGACATCAAATAGCGCTTGGAACCCGAGGGGTACTCCAAAAAGTCTTATAAGGTCGAACCCAATCGAAGTCAATCGAACGATTAGGAGTTCGATTAAGTTTGATTACCGAACGTTCGATTAGCGGCTACCCTAGGCTAAAAGTATCTTGAAAGCAATCACCATGTGTTTAAAAGGAAAGGTGGAGCGAGGGATTTTCTGGTGACATGAGGAAAAATTACTCTCGATAGAGGCATGAACATAACCTGAACCGATGATGGTTTTTTAAATGTAATACCCCAATTAAAATTGGAACACAAAGTGTAATTAATTGCTCTTTCTTATAACTCCAACCTGGCTTAATCAATAGCCATGAATATGGAAATATTCTAGCTTGTCATTTAAGTTGCAATCCGACTCTTAAGCGAAAAAGACAAAAACGCAGGGTTTAGAATCCTTAATCATGCCGAGTATGACACTGATTTCCGTTTTTTATGATATCATCCAACTAGAGATTACATATCAAACAAAGTTCTGACAGTTCTTGGTTCCCAGTCCTGGTATGCATTTTTGCTTTTTTTTTTAAATGTCTCATTATCAGCAACTTTTATTAACAATTGTAACAATAAGAAAATATTTATCTTACCTTACAAAAGAGAAAAAAAATCTCCATAAACATTTTACAGCTGCTTTAATTTTGGCCAAACATTTGCGTCATCGTTAGCATAAAAAAACATTAATTTTCCCCTTCAGTAAGTATGTAAATTTTTAACTCTCTTTAAATATGTAAGAGACTGTTCCAATGAAATCGATGTCGAGTCATCCGACAAAAATACAACACTGATGCATTCGCCCGTTTGCTGTGTTTTAAAAAAGTACACAGGGAAGGTATTTTTGAGGAAGATCTTTGAAATTTTCCTCGCACCGTTAATGCACGACTATATACGGGGCTTTATGATTAATTTCTCGTTGACTTTTTTTAATTTGTATAAATCATGTCGGATGAAAAAAAAAAGATTCAAACAGAAAAGAGACAAGCTGCCTATGCCCTCTCGTAAAAGCTTTTAAAAGGGTACTGACTCTTGAATAACCTTGGAATCTTGAGACTGAGCAATTTGTAAACGATAAATGAACGATTTATTCATGTTGATAATAAATCATGGACTTGGTGTTTGGCAAATATCACGAAAGATTGGACTGACGACTCTCTCTTGTTTACAATTTTAAAGCGATTTTCTTCGCACGTTGTCGTTTACATTATACGTACAGACCGTGTTAAATTCTTGGCTTCTTTGAGGACTGAATGTCCGTGAATGTTTCTTGCCCTTAAAGGGAATTCTTATCTGTGTGATGACTGCAGGTTCCTTGTTGCGGGGTATTGGGGTCTTGGGGAGGTTTTTACCAATGACCACCGCGATGTTTAAGACCATTTCTTGAGCAGGGGAGTAATTATTTACAAGAAAAAGAAGAAGTTTTTGGTGTTTTGAAGAAACACCGGAGTCTTTTAGTTCTTGAACAGACGAAAAAGTCGGTCTATTTCTAGGATTGCGAAAATAGTCCACCCCGCTTTCCACAAAGAGCTCTGCGGCTTTCGGTGACAGAAAAATCATCATGACAGCCCCACGTCCTTTTGTTACAAATCCCTCTCGAGCGATTTCGCTCAAATACTGCAGTAACAGACAATTTTCGTTACACATATGAACAATGGATTTCATATGGCTGTTAACTTGTCCATAATGGCAGACAAGACGATGTTCCTTCCAGTGAGTTCTTCGACATTCAATACAACAATAATGTGTGAAACACGACGGACAAGATTTGAAATCCAGCGCCACGATTCCTAATAGTTCTTCCTGTTTTTGACACGAAGGGTTTTCGCAAGTGAAAAGTTTTCTTTCCATAAGCCGAGGCGGCTTCGGTGGCAGTCCGCGGGGAGGTTTCTGAGGTGGTGTTTTCGCAGTATGTCGCGGTAAAGTGTTAGATTTAGAAGGCGACGGCGTCCGAGAATTTTTTGAGTTGTCATTTACATCCAGTGAAAGAACACTGGCATTTGAGGCGAATTCTTCTTGAAAGTTACAAGGTTTGGGCGAATATTCCAGCGGAGGATGATTTCCGTTCATTGGCGACGCGTTGTAACTTCCCTTTGCTTTCCCTCGCTTGTGTTTGACTTTAGATGGTGAAACAGGGACCATGTCTTCATACTGGGGCGAGCGACGACGGCTTGCTCGACACCCACCCTTCCCAATACAGACGTACATTTGCACGCAACTCAAGTGAAAGTAAATTTTGTTTTCAGGCTGCTAGGTGCTTGCCTTCTGTGTCAATTTACGAGACTAAACGTCACAGTCAATATATTGGTCATTGCAAAGCAGCTGTTCTGGAACAATGACATTTAGACGCTTACTGGATGTCATGCATATCCCTTTGTTTTTTACACCAATCAGATTATTGGTCAACCAGCAATAGGCGGGCCATACATTGTAGCTCTTTAAAAACCAATCAATCGTAAAAAAAAAGTCAATCGTAAATCATAGCTCTGTATAACGCTTGTTGACCTCACAGAATTGTCATTGTAAGAATTAATTTCGTTTTTGTTATTTTCTTTGTACATGTACTCACCCTTATCCAATAAAAGGTTATCTTACTGGCACCCTGTGAGTCTTTATGTGAAAGAAACCTAACAACAAACAAGCCAGTGGCAGATCCAGAACTTTAGATAAGGGGGAGACGGTCTCAAAAACAATTTTTTTTCCGCCCTTCGGGCCTCAGTTTGGTCTAAAAATAAGAGGGGGTGGGACCCCCGGACCCCTCCCCTGGATCCGCCACTGCAGGCAATGCAAAAATGCGATAGCTATTGTATGTAAGCATGTGTGTGTCACTTTGAATAAGTAACGGCGTATTTAAGTCTGTAATATTCGCTATTCCACGAAGAGGCAGGCTAATAACGTCGCAGTCATGCATGAGTCAGTTTATCCATGTCACTATTAAAGGGAAGGTCCAATGAGGATTTAAATCGATAAAACAAATGGCGGCAACCAAAAAAGCTCAGCTGATTGTTTATCATGTTTATTGCTTTTAAAAAGAAATACATACTGACCACACAGTTAATCATGATAGTGACTTGAAACAGCGAAGACGCACTTTTATTCGTGCCGTGTTTAATTTATGAACATTATCTTGTCTTATCTTATCTTGATTTAATAAAGAACGTTAAGACAAGAGTGGCAGTACCCAAAATGCGAATTTCTTGCCACTTGCTACCTATTAAATCTGGGCGCTACAAGAAGATACCCAGAGTTGAGAGGCTTTGCCCCCTTTGTAATAAATCCGAAATTGGTGATGAATTCCATTATTTGTTGAAATGTACCCACTCATCACTTTCTCATATAAGGGGTATCTTCTTGGAGAGCCTACACTCGGTTAACAGTAATTTTACGAATATGTCTTGTAAGGTACTATTTTTATATATCATTTCTATGCGCGATGAAAACATCATAAATCTCACTGCCTCTTATATTGAAAATATTCTAAATTGTTATGCATCCGAACTGTAATTATAACTTTCTTACCATACGAGTAGCGTAGAAGCCGTACATAGCCAAGTAATTTTTCTTTTATGATAATATTCAATTGTTCCTTTCTTTCTTACTTAACTTTTATTTTACTTTTTTCATTTTTTATTGTTTTGATACTGAAATCTTCATGTCGAAGATAAAGTCAATAAAGTTGTTGTTGTTGTTGTTGTCTTAATCCTATTTACAGTTTTATGATAAACTACTACTTAAAAAAGTTAATTGTAAAAGATTAATATTTAGATTATCGAATATACCGGGTAAATATGAAGAAATATCTCCTGCATAAATAAACTGTTGAGTAAGACACTAGATGCATGCGTGATGACCAATAACTATGAAAAAGTCAGGTGTAATCCAATCCTTCCGGCGAATGAATGGAGCTGATTCAGTTTATGGGCGACAAAAAAAGAGTTTCAGTTTTATATTGGAATTAAAGGATTTGGAGTTTTAAATTTATTTAAGGGGCGTTCCCATCAAATGACGGTCGCCATTGTTGCTTGATCAGTTCACCCGAATTCATTGCCCAGAAACTAGACGTCAACTAGTCGGTTCCTTTACAAAACTTCCTCGCTGATTCCATGAGACAGCTCTTACAATGCCGGATGAGATCTACCCATTGAACTATATTAAGTTATTTGTTAGTTTGTCAGTCCTGTTGAATGCTTTCAAGGAAAATATGAGTAGCGTGGTAACGACGCTGCAATACTAATGTGCTTTGATATTTATGACCCTCAGTCTTGACGCTTTGGAACGAAGGGGGGCTCAGCTGGAAAGCTCGATTGATGTGTTACCTACACGCTAAAAACGTGTCCAAAAAGAAAAAAACCGATAGCACTAGACGGAAAAAATATCTTTTTTCATTCTAAGCTGCTCAAAGATGGCCTCAAGATGCATTTCATGTTTAACAAATTCTCACGACATCACAGCGCCCTCCGCCGTACACCTCAGGTGACACTATAGCAAGTCCAGTCAAGCTGTGTTACCATTAACAAGCGGTTGAGAAAGGCGAAAGATAGAAACAGAAAAAGGTGGCTCTATCTTAGCAACCCGTACACTGATAAGAACGTAATGAGGACAAAATGTATGGTTTTCGGTTGCTGGCTAAGTCGGCTTGGCCCGTAGAACAATGACACTTTCATGGATCTAAATGTCCATGGTCAATCTATTACTAGAGCTCTAATTTAACGTTCTTAACATCCAAGTAGCCTCGAAGCCGTACCGTAGCCACGTAATTTCTATGTCAATATTCAATATATTGTTGTTGTTCCTTTCTCTCTTACTTAACTTTTATTTTACTTTATTTCATTTGTTGTATATTGATTGTTTTGGTACTGAAATCCTCATGTCGAAGATAAAGTCGATAAAGTTGTTTGAAAGAGCATAAATGCTTTTAAATCCCGGGTTTAAATATCTGAGCATTGTATTAGGTAATACTTTGTCCTCAAGAGAGGATAAAGGGGACAGAGAAGGCATCCCCGATACACACCCTATTCCATACGTAATTCGTCTCGAGTTATTTTTAGAATCGGGATAAAGTTACCTCGCGCGCTGCGTGGATGTTTCGTGGAGGTTTAGCATGACTAAACGCCATGCAAAACATGTCGGGCGAGAGGCAATGGAAGAGATCGAGAACATTTCTGAATATTGAAGCGAAATGAGTCTGCGCTCACCTGGCAAAAGGGAATCGCTCGACTCTTTGACAACCCGTGAAATCAGTTTAACTCGAAGTTATCGTAACCTCAGTGCTTTAATAAAATGAGAAATTTCGCCGGTCTATTGAAACCGGTCGTTTGTACAATAAAGCAAGTAGCAAGTAATATTCTTGTACATGTAATTAGTTTTACAAATTTGAATTTTATGGTAGTTTTTTTAAGTTGTTAAGCGCTGTTGATCAGTGAATGTAAATAGCGCTCTAGAAGTTGTTAAATTATTATTATTATTATCATTATAGGGCGCCAAGTGTTATTTTTGTTGAATAATAAAAGACTATTAAAAAAATGAATATCAAACCAGAAATTGCTCTTTTGAAACTATAAATTATAAATGATCCTGAGAGAATATTCATTGTGTTAAGGATTTCCCTGCTGTACTGTTAGCTCTATACAAGAGAGGAAGGGCGATTCTTTTTTAATTTCCGTTTCGCTGACACAGCTTTAGCAGAAATCTCTCTTTACTCGTTTTCGTCGACAAAACAAACAGTAATAGCAATATCGCTCTCCGCCATTTTGTTCTGCCTCAATTCGGGAAGGACGCGTGGCTCTGAGCGTGGGTCATCCACGCGGAACACATTCGCGCTATGTGATTGGCTGTTGTCTAATCCCCCTTGGGATCTGTCTATCTTTCAAATAACTCGAGACGAATTACCTATGGAATAGGGTGTGTATGGAGGATGCCTTCTCTGTCCCCTTTATCCTCTCTTGTTTGTCCTTTAATGACCACATCATCAGTAAAACATTCACAGTCTTGAAAGCAGTTATCGAAGGTACTTGGGGTACTTTTTAGTTCGAGGCAGGCGTTGACACTGGAAGCTGCCACAGTCGAGTCTACGCAGCAGCCATGGCCTTCTCCATTCTTGGTTGTTGCGAGGTCGAGCAGGTACAAGTTCGATCAGAAGGAAATGATAAAGTGGTTGGCAAGAGCTGCGCAAAATACTCTTTGTTTTCCCTCCAAAATTTTGCATAAGAATATTTTTCAGTTTCTATAGGGACGATTGTAAGTACCAAGAGAAAATGAAAACAATGCTCACTCAAAATTTTGGATGGGAAATAATTAAGAGCATTATGATATTTTGGAAACAACCTCGTTCCCAGATTCTCTCGGAGAAAGGCCTATTCTTCAAAAATCTTCAAAAATGACCAAATATGGTCATTTTGTAAACACCAGAAAAAACAGTGTTGTTGTGTTGACAATGGTGTTGGGTTACACTAAAGTTGCAAGAAATCACATGAGATCGTGATTATCATCAAAGAAAAGCTCTCTCTAAGAATAGTACATATCACTGGGTTGTGTCGGAAACTCCGAAACTTTGCTACCAGGGAAGGATCGACGAAGACTGAAATCAGAATATTATTGCAACCTCATTAAAGAGGCTAAGAATGACAGTCCGGAATGTGGAAATCCCTTAAAGAGACTCTTCCGTCTAACAGTGTAGGGGATGTAACAGAAATTAACACGGATGGCGGTCGTCAGTGCTTGTGTTCCTAACAAATCGCTGAAACTTTTAACAAGCACTTCCCCTCAGTTGGTAAACGCTTAGTGAAATCTTTCCTTAGAGTTGAGTTGGTCGGCGTCATTTATCGCCGATGTCAAGTTTGAATTTAAGCCTGTAAAAGTGGCTTCTGTGGCAAAGCTGTTAGCTCAATTGAAGACAAACTGCGACAGCTGGCTTGGATAACATAAGTGCGCGTATGCTTTGTGACTCATCAAATGTGATTGCCCCACCTTTGACATACCTAATTAACATGTCTCTTCGGACGGGAACTCTTCCTGGCACATGGAAATGATGATGATGATGATGATGATGATGATACCTTTATTAAAGTGTCAAAACTGTAATAGCGGTGTATAACCACTAAGTGGGGACACTAACATAAATTTAAAAAGAATAAATCAATTAATAAATTAATTAAAATTAAGAAAAACTATGTACAGTATAAGCAGGTGAGAAATTCGAGAGAACTATA